TTAGTACCATTTTATGCCAGTTTGATCCTTTTATGAGACATAAATAGCTCAGAGAGGAGAGATTTTTACCCAAAGACTGGAGGGAAGATTACTGTGAATGAAAAGAAAATGAGCTGCCTGTATGAAATCAGAGATGCAGGGTGGAATAGTGAACCCAAAGACATATAAAAAAAATCAGTTCAAAATTATCATTAATAGTGAGGAAGAAGAGGCTTTGCCATGAGCTATTTGACACAAGGGAGGTATAATCCAGAAGTTCATGGGAGAGAATGTTCTCATTTAGAGCACAGGCACTGAATGAAATAGACTTTTCTCAATCTTTTTGGTGCTGAAGTGATTTTTGGCATATTAAGTCTGAGCTCCATATCTATACAGTGGAGGCAAGACTAATGCTTCTTATTTTCTGTTTCAGACTGTAAGCTAGATGTGGGGTAAAGTCTCTTATTCTGCATACATAGTACCTGTTACAATAGGTTCTAGTCTCAAGTGGAGAATCTGAGTACCAGAATGAAAACATAAATAAAGATTTCAGCAAAATTATTTATTGACTTTATTTATTGATGTACTTATGTGATTTTATATGCTGCCTTTGCCAGCAAAGGCTCAGGGAGGCTTACAGCAAGGGAAACAGAACAGCTTTAAAGGACAATAAGAAACGATAAAATAACAAAATAAAGCACAGACCCAATAAATAACATCTAGGCCTCGCTTTAATGGCTAAATCCCTGCCCAAGCAGAAAGGTCTTGTAGTGCTTCTTCAAGAAGTCCAGGCTCACGCTCTTGCTGGCCTTAAGGGGAGGGGAATTTCAGAGCTGAGGGGAAACTTCTGAGAATGAACTCTCACATGCTTTTGCCAAGTGAACTTGGTATACTGATGGTATTTGCAGGAGGTTGCTCTTGGCTGACCAGAGGGATTGTGATGGGGCACAGGAAAGAAGGCAGTCCTTTAGGTATGTGGGTCCCAGACCACTTAGGGCTTTATAGGTCAAAACTAATGATTTGAATTGATCCTGGAAAGCCAGAACTTGTGAAGATGCTAGAGGACCAGAGTGATGTGCTTCTGGTGATCCACCCCTGTCAGAAGGTGGGCCACCATGTTCTGCACCAGCTGCAACCTCCTCATGGTTTTCAAGGGTTTGGTGGCTTCATATGGAGCACATTACAGTAGTCTAGCCTTCAGGTTCTGAAGGTATGGATCATAATCTGAAATGAAGGGTCACAGCCTTCTCACCAGATGAAGTTTGTAAAGGGGCTTCAAGCCACTGTTTCCACCTGAAGATCCAGGAGCCCTATAAGGCTGTGACCCTGAGTGACAAGGGGAGGCTGAATCCTATCAGTGATAGGTGTCTCAAAACTTCGTGTCCCCCAAGACATGTGGCCTGCCTTTGCAAAACTTTCAATTAAACATTTCTTAGGCAAGTCCTAATGCAGCAGCAGCAGCAGCAGCAGCCTGTACCACATTGAGCTTGAATTTATTTTAGCAAGCCAACAGTGAAAGCTCTTCACTGGAATAGAGCAGGCCATCCTTTACTGCAGCATATCTCTGTTGAGAGCAGAAAAAACTGACACTGAGTCCACTAAAATGTCATTTTGCTTGCTACTTCATGTTTGCTTTGATGACAGCATAACTTTACAATGTGAAGGTTACCTTTGATTCTGTCTTGAATAGCCAGTAAAGTCTCTGTTCAATAGAAAACTTCTATTCCTGCTCAGTCAGCACTGAATTCTGCTTTACTTGCTTATGGTGAGTCTCACCTTAATCTGTGAAGAGTCCTATTGAAACAATCAGACTTCTGTTCTATCTAGGAGTGCAGAACATGTGTAAGTTACTATTCAGCCCCAGTATGGCTAGCACGGCCCTGGATATTGGACAATGTTTGATGAGAGGGTTCTTTTCTTCTATTCCTCTAATTATGCCAAGTGAGAATAAGATGCAGATCTCATCATTCAGGCGTAGTCTCATAATTCAGACAACGTTCATGACATCCCAGAGGATTTTCTCAGTTTGTATCACTTGATTCAGAGGACTAATTTAATTACTGAGAGAAGAATGTTAGCTTCTAAAATAATGGGTACTGTCCACTGATGGAAGAAAGATGCCAGTTTCTCCTTTGCCCAGATGTATATCATGTGTTCTCAGAGTGCCGAGCAGGTGTAAAATGCAGAAGGCAAAAAGAATCTAGAGGTCAACTGAGCTTGAAAGAAAAAAAAAAAAACTCAGACAAATGACAATCTTGTCAGTAATGTCAACCTATTAAGCCTCACAAAATCAAAGGTCTGCTTCTGGGCTGAGTTCCATAGTGAATCATATGAATTCTATTTAATGACACAAAGATCCAAGATAAGCCTCTGATAAACTATCTTAACCCTTCTTGCTAAATGGAGAAGACTGAAAAGAGAATGGTTGTGATAACTGGCATCGTCAAGTGCGCATGCGCGCGCGCGCACACACACACACACACACACACACACACGCACACAAAATCTTGTAATTCAGTATGAACTGTCAGGTAACCTGTCTGGACCAAGAAAGCCCCAGATATGAAATACTTCTTAAAGGAAAATTTACAAAAGAGAAGTGGTACCTATTGGGAAACAGATACAGTATTTCAGGTAGAGAAGTAAAAGTTGATACTCTTCTCTCTTCTCTTCTCTCTTCCTCCACCCCCAACCCCAGGACAATACATCTACTCCAAGAATGAAATTTGGTACAACAAGTCTTAAAGGGTTTTTTCATATGTAAGTGGGTGACTTGTCTTATGTTGAAGTCAAATGGTACAAGTGTTTAGAGGATTGGTGCCTAAATCATTATTATATGGTACAAGGCCATTGGTGCTCAGCCTCCCAGATTTGGCCCATGGAGCTGTATCATCTAGCTTGTGGGTCTCCCCACCAGGTCCAAAAAGTTGGCAGTTGGAGAAGTAGTGTTAATTATTAATTGCTACTCTCTTACTGCCAAACAGAATTAGGGAGAGCCCTGTGGGCCAGATGATGTGGCCCTGTGAGCTAGATCACCGGTCCATGATAAGGCAGACACATGAGGTCACTCTGCAGCTGGATCCTGGATTGCACCTGTCTACTGACCCCACTCACAAAATCTAGCCTGCAGACCAGCGCTGTGTTGTTTACCCAGCCTGTGGAGCCAGAAGATTGAGCACCACTGCTTTAGGTGCTCAATCAAAACTTAAGCATTTTAGAAAAGCAGACAGTATTTCTGCATGTGTTCCACAAGCTATTTTAGTAAACTAAACACAAGGATACTGTAGAGCTGAGTGCAGCAATTTTATTGAAAAAGTCCACTTGTGTGTGCAATTCCTTTATTAAAAGGTTTCAAATACATTGGACAAGGAGCCATTGATGATCAAGATTTAATTATACCTTTTTATACATATTTTATTTCCAAAACTATACAAACATTGGAAAACTTTCCTTGTTCCTCCATATTTCCCAGGATTCTGTAGTGACAACATACATATATATCTCCCACTACAAACCGCAAACCTACTTCCTTTGAGTTGACGTTTTACATCTTTGACAATAAAAAAATGTCAGTAATATTTACATGTGCTTAAGGTTGCATAATTGAGCATCTTACAGGTTCTGAAAACCAGTTGCTAAATGAGTTTCAAGAGTCACCCAAATGGGTTGAATGGTTTTAAATGCACATACACTACACATATGTGATTTATTAGCAAAGACTCTCTATTCCCTTTTATGATTTCAAGGTTATCTATAAGTTGTATGCTAGACATGGTATGGGTCAGTATTTTAATAAAGGTACTCACAGAGTGAAAAGCAGCACTGACAACGACTATTGATGATCAGAAACATGAGTGGTGAATTGAATGTGTGTATATGACACAAATTAGGATGTTCCAAATGAACCTGAAGTTTGCCAGAAAAAGAAATGTTTATTTGTTACAGATATGTTTCCCATCCTTCTGGCTAATTTAAATGGATTGTGTATTCCTTAAATTACCTTGAAAAGTTCAATCTTAATGTGGGAAAGAATCACTGAAAACGAAGGTAGTGAAAGTCTACAGCAGATCTTGCAATGTTGAAGAATGTTGAATAACTGGAAATTCAGCTGAGACAAATTATCACTGAAAAGTAAAGAATAAAACAGCAGCAAATACATAGAGCAAATTTTGCTTTGTAACCTAAGGGTTATATTGACCATACAAATTGTTCTGTCTACATGTTGTTTGTTTGTCTCTTTAAGGCTTCTCTAATATCTTACATGAAAGCGTTGTCTGCTTGAATCCTCCATGCATGAGAGAGAGGGGCAATTCTGCAAGGGAAAAAAAATCCACATTTTGATTATAATAGCATAGCCAGAAACACAAAATAAAAGACAATACTTTATGGTACCTTTGCTGCATTTATTTTGGCTCAAAAAATATGCATGCACTAGACTTTAAGTACTACAAGGTACTGAAATATTTACAACATTGTACATGTGCTTTTAAAGGGAGGGGAGAGGGAAAAGTCTGTTTTTATTAGTGTAGGAGGGGAAGTTACTTTTCTAATCTAGTAACACTTATTTGAAGTGAGAGATGACTCTTCCAAAAAGAAAAGCAGAGGACAATGTTATAGCATATTTATAGCCAATGCTTACAAACTGTACAGTACTTTACCTTGGAATTCTAGCTTTGATCACTTATGATTGAAGTGACAATATCCCACCATTAATGACAGTCACCTTATTTTCACTGTCTTGATACTGCTCCATTTCAGCTGGTAGAGCTGCATATTAGCTGTTTATAGTTCCATATTTCAAATCACTTAAACATACGCAACAGTGATGTTTAAATCACAATAACTGTATGGTAGTTTTGGACAAACAGTATGATATAGTTGATATTTACTGGGTTTATGGCACTATAGAATTCAGACCACTATAAAGTGTATCAGAAATACTTTAAGTGGACTTAAAAAGGAAACCATCTCTCTAAGAAATTTAGTGAGTAAGGCTTGTATCACCTATTTCTATTCTGATTTTAAAGGTAAAGGTAGGATACCCAGTACACCAGGTTAAACAAGCAGAAGGCAGTTGGAAAGAATATACGGGCATAAGAGTCCATTTTGGCAATGCGGATATGTATTCTTCCGTGTCGCCATGCCCCTGTTCGGCAATCCTCAAAACAGCAGAAGAAACTGGCACAGTCCTTGCCATCAAGACACTCATACCCATACTCTTCATCCCTTTCTTGGAGGTGTGTAGCATTGTTCATTTGAATAGTTGCTGATCTTGGTCGGATATCAATTGTAGGTGCCTGTGGTAAAGGAGTGGCAATATATGGGAGGGGGAAGGGGAATACAGCATTACAATCTTCATAAGAAAACTTTCTAAACAGTAATGTTCAACTTGTACAAATTATGGTTTTAGTTTAGGCTAAATTCCTAAAGAATTAGGAGTTCTAATAATTTTAAATCTTTAAAAATACAGATTGCAAATATTGTAATTGCAAATATATTGCAAGTATATATACTTAAATTTTATAGATAAACAATGCAGATTATTATTACGGATTAATACCTATGGAAACATAGATGTCAAATTTAATTCCAAATAAGCTAAATAAATTCAGAGCCAATAAGCTAAACATTTGAGGTTAAAGGAGACATTCAGAAATGCAACTAAATGGCATTTTGAAATCTTCCTTTTAGTAGCTGATTGATAGAGGATGGTGATTTTTGGTGTTGCACATGAAAGGAATTAAGATAACTAGAAATGCAGGATTTTCTTAAACACAGTTGTTTTACATGCTAATGAATAGGCAAATGTATATAATGTGCAGAAAAAAGCAACTGGGTCTTCTGAACAGAGAATGCTAGAGGTTCTCTGTAATACTCTCTACTAGTTTGCATTTATTAATACATGCAGCTCAGCATATACTACTGTTCACCATCTAGAAGCCTCAACATGTCCAACACTGTAAACAGTAGGTGGACATATATTTCTGCAATGCGTTGAGCTAATTAAGCATTTAAAGCTATTTTGAGCGCTTGGTGAACATCGACAGGCATGGCATAATGCAAACTACAAAAATACTCACTGATACCTTGCCATTTTTTAAGACAAAATATAATTACAGCATTTTTATTTCCACAAAATATGTAAATGTTATTAGCTTTACATTTAGACATTCTTTCCCTCCCCCCAGAACTAAATCTCTGCATTTCTGAATGGATATTAGATTTAGGTGCAGTATACAGCTAGCTATATTCACTAATTTGAATAACAAGAGTGTGTGGATCCAATGATAGCATTAGAAAATGTATGCATTTTAAACCCTTTCAAAACTCTGACAATAAGCATGACAAAGCATTGGAGTTAATTATGACAGAATTTTGCTCAACGCTAGAACAGAATTAAATTTATTATTTTAAACTAGATTACAAATCTAAAGAAGGCATCAGAGTTGAGTTCTAAAAGGGTGTATCGCAGGGTTTTGGTGTAGCTAGTGGTATTGGATCCCATGGGCAACTGAGCAAGAGAGCAACACAGATGTCTTGAACAAGTTAAACTCTCTTAACTCATGCGATCCAAAAATGTTGGTAACTGTTGAACTTAATATAAGTTCAAAACCATAGTGAGTCAGTGTTTGGGCTGCTGAATCAATTCTACAAAATTATTTAGAAATCTGTAGCCATTCTACTAATTACAGAGGGCACCTTGAGTAGAATGTTATGATGTCTAATTAAAAAAAAATCATTTAAGCTCTAATAGTTAAAATCAGCAGTTGCATGCAGTGAATTTCCATTCCAAAAAACTTTATACCTTGAAGGAAAACATCCGAAGAAGCTTTCATTTTGTAGACAGAAAAGAGAATCAGAATTTTTTAAATTCAAAAAAGAAAGAAAGAAAAGGGAGAAAGAGACAAAAATAATATAATATAAAGATACTTTTCTAAAACATAGTAAGTCAAAAAGAACTGAAAACATAGAAAGGTAAAGGCAGGAAGGCTATTAAATAAGGGTCTACTGACATAGGACAAGAAAATTTCTGTCTTAGCGACTTGTAATTAAAGGTGGATCAAAGGTGCACAACACAGAACATCATTTCAATTTTGTCATAGTCTGAAGGAATTAAAAACTGTCATTTAAACTGGTATATCTGGATACATGTTTTAGCCCAATATCTTGGCTATTGTAAATTCTCTCTTCAACACTCCACCCCATAGCTTTTTGTTTCTTAAGATCAGCCCATTGTTATTTCTGTCTCATGTACTCTACTCAACAGATCTAAATAACCCAGTCAGGGCACAGTGCTAATATGGCTAAATTGTTTTCTCTACCGAAGATAACTCATTTCTACACTTATTCTCTTGTGCTGTGCATTGTAAGCTAAAGAGAAAGCTGTCAAAATGCCCAAAGTTTTTAGTGCAGTAAGTGCTATTGCCTTTATTTCATTTCCTTAGTTGCATTTGAAAATCTACCCATGCAGAAGTAGACCATTTGTGCAGTCTGCAGTGTGCAAGTGCGTGTGTATATGTTCACGAAATAGAATCTGGTAGATTTTTATTTCTTTTCTTTTTTGTTACTATCGCCACCTACTCAGGTTTTGTTGTCATAGAAGGAGGAGAAGTTGATCCTTTTTGAAAGGTCAAGGAACAAGTCTGGCTGGAACAAAATATTCTGCAAATGCAGGGACAACAAGGGGATTTTTAGTATTGTGTATTATGGCTGTAGAAAGGTCTGTTATTGTGTACTTGTTCCTCCCATACCAGAAAGCATTAATGAAATCACTGTCTAAAGAAAAGAAAATAGAAAAAGAAAGTAGGAGAGAGAGAGGCTACAAGGAAAAATAAAATAAAGAAGCAATGAAAAGGAAAGAGAGAGAGACAAGGGGAATTTGCAAGAAATACAGTTTCACAGATTGAAAATAGAATAAAAATAACAACCCAAGAGATCTGAATTCTTGACTTTTGATTCTTCACTCCCCAGTAAGTAAGGGTACTTAAAGACAAAATAAAATCAAATAAATCTATATAAAAAGCTAAGGGAAACATTTGTATTGTGATCATGAACTTTTAAAAATATGGGGTGGGGGGATGGTGAGAACAATACAAACCCAATATTAGACTATCCGTTTTTTAAAGTATGCAATAAAGAGCTCATAATTTCTGTAGCACAAGCAGGAACCTACTGTGTGTACATTGGCAGAAAGCATCACCCAAGAAAGGACAGGGATATTGATGATTCTCATAAGAGTGATTCTATGTACTGTACTTTGAAATCAGGATGTTGATTATAGCTGTAACTCAAAAATACTTTGGCTAGATGGATCCTGCCAGTAAGAAATGGCTTTCTGGGCATCAGGACAGTTATAAATATATCATCTATACATTCCCAAAGATTAAATGAGTTTGCATTCTTATTTACCTCTTATTTCCACTTTACATCTATAGCATAATCTAATAAAAGGATTAACATATAGTGAGCTTTAACTATTATCTCAAAACATATAATTCAGATTTATGCATATCTATTTAATGGTAAAACAATACATACTGGGTTTTTCTTCTTTTTATCTTTATCCTTGCTTGGTTTTCTGTTGCTGACAAAGTAGTGCAAGGTCCCATATTCCACCAGTGCAGAAAAAACAAAAATAAAGCACACTGACACAAAAAGATCCATTGCTGTCACGTAAGAGACCTTGGGAAGAGATTTACGAGCAATAGTACTGAGGGTGGTCATTGTCAGGACAGTTGTAATACCTGGTGAAAAGGAGACAGAATTGAACAAAAATATCACTATTTTAGGTGACAAAGTAAATCTGTCACTTGTCTCATGCTCACTAGTTTTGAAGGATACCCTGAAGTGCTGACATAGTGACAGTGTTGAAAAGCAGCATCCTGAGCATGGAGAGGCTTGTGTACTCAGTGAGAGCCTCCAGGGAAAAACAGAAAATACAAATTACAATGCATGGTTTCCTGTAAAAGAGACTTAGGCTATAACCCCTACATGAACACTGCGGGGCAGCGGGCAGGAGGACAGACACACACATATACGCACACACAACTTGTCAAGAGTTCCCCCAGCCTCAGAAAAATAAAATGTCCTCAGAAACTCTAACCATTTTTAGATCTGAACTTAAACCCAATCAAGTTTCTTTGTTGCTGGGGTATATTTTCTTCGTTTTCAGATTCTGGGCAGCAATGTAAGTGCCAATCCCAAAATGTCCTAAGAAAAGTGACATTACAAGGAGTAGAAATGCCTGAAATCTCACAAGAGAACATAAGAAGAAGAATATCAAATCGAATTGAAGATTAGGAGAAAATGTAGAGTCATGGCATATGTAATTGTCAGTTGAGATTTTGGTCATGACTCTGAAACTAATATCCTTAAGTCTGAATAAAACAGAGCCAGAACTTAATTCTTAATGTCACCTGTAATATCTTTGTTGATCTCTTTAATGTCAACAAAAAGCCAATACTTCTATTTAATGTTTCATTTAAATCTGATGTTTATTAAAATGAGGGACTAAGGCTGTAAACAAATGGCACATATATCCCAGGATTAAGCCATTTTATCCCAAGACAAAGTGTAATTATACAGACATCCATGTTCTTTGTCCCAGGATAAATCCTAAAAAGTTTCCCAGATAAGAGGTAGTAACATTTCATCTAAGGCGATTACAAAACACATCTGTACAGTTACTCTGAGATTTCATTACTGAATCAATGGCAGAAAAGTGGCACTACTTTCAGCTGCTCACAAAACCCTGATTATGAAGGTGGCATGTATGTATCAATCCAGGGATATATTTGTTGCAGGACAAACACTGGCATAAATTATCCAGGGACAAAAGCAATGTCTCTTCCTAATTTAAGAGCCCAGTTCAAAATGTATGGATGTTTGTGGGTAACCGTTCGTTGACTTAAGTGGGATTTGAAGATAATTTTTATAGCACTAATAGACTGACTAGCATATACAGTGCAGTGCAAATTTCCTCATATAATTGTGCCAATTCATCATAACTGTCACAAATCCATTGTCTTTGAAATTATGGTATGAATCTTAAAAAGTCTTTGAAAGCTCAGAATTCCTATGGGAATTGTATTTGCAAGCATTGAAAACAGGACCAGTATTCCTATATATTTTAAGATTTGGATTAGGCTCATAAAGACATTACAGAAAAGAGACACAATCCAATTTTTTATGATGACAGGATTTTAAAAATATATATTTTTAAATGTTACATTGAATATCAGTATTGATCACTAACTAAAAAGTGAGCAATATATTATGGCAAGGAATTTATTTTATATACTACAAAAAAAGGGGAAGGGGAAAAGGGGCTTATTCATGACTTCCCAAAACCTGCACAGAAATTATACGTATAGAATCTCTGCTGACCCTTGTAAAGCCAGAGGTTAGAGTATTTTCTCTACCAGAATGTCAGATGTGGTCCAGAGCATGACTTAGAAATGTTGCTGAAAAAATACTAATCTGTGCCACAAATTGTTCCCTTTTAACTCCTTTGGGGTTCCAGTGCACTAGACCCAACCCCAGAATTTAAATCCAGGTGTTTAGAGATGAAAAATAGGTTCTTAATATTGTACTACATGGACACATACTTTGTATTGTTAGTGCTATGACCTGTTTCTCAGGAATAAGGTTAGTTTTATTTGTCTTAGTTTATTTTAAGATCAATCCATGAAGAAGTGACTAATTTTAATTAATTGCACATGATACTTTCATGACACCATATAATAACAAGTGAAACAAATGCCACCAAGTTCATTTGATGTTAGGCCCAGAGGCTACATTTGACCTATGGTCCAAAAGGTAAAAAATCAGTGTCTGCAAAACAGAAGTCTGACGTCTATGCTACCATGAAAGGGCACATTACAGAGTTAAGCTGAATTCTAATTTAGGCATAAAACAAATGCAGCTATGGGAATCCTCTTTATGCCCATATAAATATTGATCATAAACCAGATTCAGCCACTGTTACTCAATTAATGTTTGACCACAATGAGAAGGCGTACTCAGGGAAAAAGGGATTATTGAATTTGAATGCAGCTGGCAGAATTTAGCCTCACATGGTCAGTGATTTATCTGTGAAATTCCTAGTAGGAGCAAAATTAAAATTCGCAGGCTTTCTGACCATCTCATTTTATATATATAATACCATATTCACTTGAATAGATGACCCCCCAATAATTAGATTTTTATTAGATGACAATAATTTCTAATTATTGAAAGTTTGCCTGAATTTGTCCCTGTCCCACACCTTCAGCAGGGAAAATACATCTGAGGGGTAACAACAGCAGTGAAGATATAGCAAAATGGATTCAGTGTGAGCTGTACAATGTAAAGTGCCTATGTTGCTGCCTGAAAGTTTAGGCACCAAGTCTACATTCCTCTAGCTAGACTAACACTAGTACATGTAGACCAACTCAATGGTACAATAATTTCTCTGATTGCAGTGTAGACATACCCATCCTTTCATAAATGTGTACAATGTTCATCATTAAACAGCAAGTGGTTCCATTACCATAGCAAAAAAAAAATTAAAAAGAGGAGTGATCTTTGACATGTACCTCTTAAAAGGGGATTTTTTTTTCTAATAAATGTTCATTTACTCTTATGCCTTCATATGGATTAGAGTTGATATTAGCTGATATCTAGTTACAAAATGTTGGTCCTAATCCAAAAGCATCTATAATTTTTTGTTTTGTTTTAAAAATTGCCAATTGACTCCATCAAAAGCTTTCATTAGCATCCAATTGTAAAAATAGATGGGGTTCATTAGTCAATTTTGCATGAAAAATCAGATCTAATACTCTGTGGGCATATCTACATGAGACACTGACTGTGCAGTAGCTGAATAATACTGCCCAGTAGTGTGTCAGAGCAACAAGTGTTAATATGATACTGCACAGTATTATTAGGCTACTACCTAATAACTTCAGTTACTGTGCATTTATTTAGTACTTTTTCATACAAGTACTAAATAAATGCACAGTAACCACTGTGCAGTAGTGTCTCATGTAGTTGCATCTAGTGGATATTAACAGTCAACTACCTATTCATTATGAACCCTGTTTAGTCTATATAAATATATTTAGGAAGTATTTTTTACTCTATTTCCTAAAACTCATTAAAAATTGGGTTTTTGTTTAATAAAGATATAGGTCTGTATGAGGCACAAATAAATAGATCCTTACTTCATTTTGGGATTACTACAATATGTTCTTCTCTCCAGGTGTCAGGAGTCTTTTTCTCCTTTCAACACATTCCCAAAGAAAGGTACTTCTCAGTAAAAATTTGACAAAAGTTGAGAAAATATTGATCATGCCTCTGAAACACACAGGCCTATAGTTCCTGCCATATAATGCAATTTTAAATAGGGTTGTAAAAGGAAAAAAAACAATGTTTATTAGAAAGAGAGCTATTGATATAAGATGAGAAGCTAGTGTTGAAGAATGTCAGACCATCTAGAACAGTGGTCTTCATGCCTCTATCTGTACAATAGTAAAAGACAGTCATTTTTAAATCCTATATCAGTGGAAGAGAAGTGGCACCCCTGAACTCACTCATTTTTAAAAAGTTTGGGAAGTTTTACTAACAGAAAAGTTATCTTATCAAATCAATGTTCTAGGAGAAGGAAGAAGCAGCTTATTTGGAAATTTGATGGAAAATTTTGGCATTTGCTAAAAAAGAAAATTCTCTGCCTGCAAACTAGAAAATCTGATTTTTTTTTTCCAAATTGAAGGCAAGTGCAAGTTCCATGACCTAACAATTAGGACCAAATTTGGAATAAATTTAACGTAAAAGCAGAGATGAGCAGAAGATAGTGAGATTGTATTATGCGTAATTTGAAGGGAAAAGAGGTGGTCAATTACTCTATATAGATGAAGAAGCACAAAAGCTTAACATTGACAGGAACAAACAAATTGTTAGAGACTGAAAGGAAGAGAAGTGAAGAACACAGGACTTTTGGACATTGGACTTTTGGACATTGATTTGCGTTAAGGGAGCACTGTATTTACCTCTTTGCATATTTTCTGGACTAGATGTATTTTTAAAGGTTAAATCTGTTATTTGATATGTTTGTTAATAAATAATGTTTTAAAAAAATTAAACAAGTGTTAGTATACACTTGTGTCAGGAGTAATGTAGTTGTATTTTCCCTTCCAAACTTAACTAAACTGTTGTTTCATTCTGTGGTCTTGAAAATGTTATATGGAAAATATTATTACAACTGATCTAAACCATAGAAGAATGAAAAAACAAAAACCATCCTTTCCCATTTCTGATGTTGAAGTCAAACATTAAATTATAGTTTACAAATATATTTTTCGTTTTTCTTTTCTCTTTTTCATTATTGTTCATTTTCACTCATAAGCAATAACATTTCTGTCCTAAATAGAAACAAAATCACTCAGCCCCAGGCCTTCAAATGCACACAAACAAAAACTATTTGCATATAGACAAAAAACAAAACCAATAAATATTAATGCTTAATAGACATAAAAGAACAACTTATTTAATGGTTTTGGCACATGTATTTAAACATAAAAAGAAGAGTTGAAGTTATTTCTTCATGAATACGCATCTTCTAACCAATACATTTGAGTCTTCAGCACTTTTATGCATAAACTGTTCCATGAGGAAAACTTGATTTCACATAGAGGTGTAGCACCACAGCTCTGTATCTGGGGCAGCTGCATGGCACTTGGGGCAGCAGCAATTCTTGCTGTGCCAGTTGCAGCAGTGTAATCAGTCACTACTGTGGCAACAAATACTTTTGCATAAAGGCGTTGCCCCAGGTTGCCCCTCTCAGATACGCTACTGATACATCCATAAATGCCATGGATGTATCTATGTCTAGTATTGTATCACATAACATGCATACTATTCCTTGATATTGGCTGTATTCATGGTATAGGCCACAGCATTAACATAAAAACAGATATTGTCAGAAAACAGAAATATATTCCTCATCAGTTGTACATTTTTGATGGAAAAAAGCTCTGCTTTTAATTAGAAAATAGTTTTGTTAAAACAAATAGTTAAGTTTAACAGCCGGAGTATATAAAAAAGACCAAATGGGTCTGAAACTGGGTCCTGTGCAGACTTTTTTTTACAGTCAGTGTAAAGCATGAAGCCCCTTTGCAGATTCAGGGCCTAATACAGTAAAAACGAGGGAATCATGCAGGATATATGCAAATGGAGTTTGATCCATAGTATACTCTTATAGAGGATATAAATTCTATTTTCTAAGTAAAATAAATCAGAAATCTTGTATATGATCCACCTGAATCCAGATGTTCCCCATGCACAGGATCTGTGCTAGATACACGGATCATTTCATACATGCTTTAGTAAACAGAGATGGAAGGTACAACAACTCACCCAGTGATGTTCTTGCTGGAACCGCATCTTTATTAATCCAGAAAGAAACCCAAGACAGTACAACAATGAGTGTACAGGGGATATATGTCTGAATGGTGAAATAGCCCATTCTTCTGCTCAGGTCAAAGTAAACAGACATGACTACATAGTCTCCTGTAAAATAGAGTTATAAACAGGGTAACGGGTTAAAAACCCTCTAAATTTATCAGCTAAGTGTATAGCTGTTCCACAGGTGAGATGTGTATATTTGATTGCTTTACCAGGTCTGAATAAGAGGTCAAGAAATAAGTGAATATGCATGTTCTGTGGAGTTATGCAAGTAGCACAAGTTTATTTACTGCTTTTGCTAAAACAATACAATAAAATGAAAATTAAATTATATATAATATAATAACATTTATATAGCTAACAATTTATAATTTTTGCTAAAAGCATACAGTACAATACAATTCTACCAGTTGGCACAAAATTAAAACAGAACATAGTATATGATGATAAAAACATAAGTAAAACAAAGCAATGGATTGTAAAGTAAAGCAGGGAAATTCTACTTGATTTTGGCTCTTATTCTTTGCACAAGTTACCACAATTACATCAGAAGTATAGTACAGATGCTTACCAATTAAAGAAAAGCATTTTTTTTCCTGAGTCGCCCAGTATTTTAAATTTTCCATTAATGGAAAAATCTAGTTTCCTCTTATTTTTTAAATGGTGATTTAAGTCATGTGTCTCATTCTTCCCACAAGGACATATTCTATCTAAATGTGGGGTCCAAATCCACTTGCCCATGACAATGCAAGTCTCCCAAGAATGAACTGCAGTCTAGTAATGTCCTGCTATTTGCATTTTTGTATTGCAAATGGGGAGGCTTCTAGGCCAACATGTTTTATTAATCTCAAAAAGAAGTTTGAGAAAGTCTCACTGACTGACTATCTGTCTACATGTTGGCATCCTTCATTCTTAAATGTATGGTTTTGTTTTAAATAAAAGAGAATTATTGGGTCAGTTATTCTCTGCATACTTCCCAGGCCATTTGTCTGGAGGAGAATATAGATGTAATTTAACCATCCAAACAAAGGTTCATTTGGAAATAGAGAGGCTTCTAAATGCACTTCTTAGGGTATGCAGTAGGTATAAAAGATCTAATTTTCATTCAATGGTTTAGAGTTCTTAATTGAGCTAAGGTGCTCACAAAGTAATTAGAGAGCTTTCCTATTTTTGAGCAGCCCATAGTTCTGCTTCATACAATAAAATGGATGCTACCTTAAATCTCTAGATCTTTAGTGCTGCCAGTATTGCCCTTTTGCCTATCATATTGTAAAAGGATAAAACTCTACCCCAAAGCTCATTTTGCTCTAGTGCTTAAATTTGCAATATGTTTATTCCAGCTCAGATTTTAATTTAAAAAGATTCCAAGATATTTAAATGAAGACACTAACTCTAATTTATTTTCCTGGAAAATTCAAACTTGTTTCCACTTTACATTCCCAAAACCCAATACCTTGGATTTAGCTGTGTAGATTTCTAAACTATCTGAGGTGAAATAATGCTGAAAAACTTCTAATAACCTTTGGAGGAATATTTGGGATTGCAACATTAATAATGCATCATCTGCATAAAGCAAGACAGGGATAGAGCTGTTCAATATCATGGGTGTGTGGTATTGATTCCCTGTTAGCACATTTTAAAACTTGCAAGAATAGATTAAAAAGTGACAAAGCAAGAAAAAAAATCCTTGTTGTATGCCTGTCAGTTAGGGAAGCTATTGGACAGGGCATTGCCAATCCCGTAATGTAGCCTAGATGTTGTATCTGAATAATAAATACGATTTAATTATTAAATTATTTAATAATTCTAATATTATAAAAGCTTTAGTCTGTCCATAATCCTTTCCTTGCACTCTGACTGGTTGTCTGAAACAACCAATCAGAGTGCTTCAAGAGCATTTTGGACAGGAGGAGGTGGTGGAGTGTCTCCATGATGGTGGAGACAGAGTGGGGCGGGTGAGGCCAGAGCTGCTTGCCTTGCCCCTCCTGGCCCTGCTCCCTGGAGGCAGCAGTGACAGCACGGGGGGTGGGGGTAAGGCCAGCAGCCTCACTCCCCCCGCCTTGCTCCTTGGAGACAGCGTGGCAGTCGGTTGAATGGGCCTGGACCCCAGGTAGTGGTGGAAGGGAGGGTGGGGAACAGCCCTGGGCCCCGGACTCCATGTGGCAGGGGGGAGGAATGGAGGAGTGGGCGTGGGCCTGACGCGGTGGGGGGGAGGGGAGAAGCAGGCCCAAACCTGATGCAGTGCTGGTAGGGGGTTGGGCAGGGAAGAATTGGGCCCGGGTCTGACATGGCAGCAGGGAGAGAGCCTGGGATTGACACTGCTGGGGTGGGAAGGGAGGATCGAGCCCAGGCCCAATGTAGCAAGAGGGGGGGGGAGCAGGACCAAATCCCAAATGGCGGGGGCAGAGGAGGTGAAGGGAGGGAACGGGCCCAGAATAGGTCGGGGCAGAGATGGGGCTCTGTCACTGCCCACTGCCCCCATCATCCTTGACGGGCAATTTACTAGTTCAAATAGACCTATGCAAACACAGCTGTTTTGGTGATACAAGGATAGTTCATATACAGAATGCTGATCACTTTCCAAAGTATTGTAATAAACATACCCCCTCAGATTCCTTCAACAAGCTTGCATGTGAATTCCAACCTGCAGGATAACTTTCTCCTGAACACACTGCCTCCCTACAACCTTCCTCCTTTCACTTTCAACCTTCCTTTTTGAGTAATCTGTAAATCCCTAGCATAGCCCTAGATATTAAGCTATAAAGTTTTCTGAGCTGGGTTTCCTTCTCTTCTTTCTGCTACAGTAGTTACACTCTGTATAAAACACTAAGGATAGGTATGGACACTACACTTATATAAGTGATCATAAACTGCTCTATATCCATAACAGAAGTTCAACACACATAGACAGGCTTAAAAATTTCAGAACCCGGTCTAAGATTTGTACCACCCCCCCTGCCCCCCCGAAGGGCAAATGTGTGTTCTGTTTGCTACCAATCTAAACTACGCCATTTGTAGAAAGCCCCATAACTTAGATCAATTCTGCCTCCAGCTTTTTGAATGTCTGTACTTAGCCATAGTCACCGAGACAGGTAGTAACAGTTCACTTCATGGTTTCTTGCATCTTTTTTTAGAAGATCCGGATATGAGAGCTGGATTGGATGGGCTCATATCTAAAGTTCTACATAATTAGTTTGACTATTATTTTCAACATTTTCTCTTATTTCAGGACTGATCTCTGGACTGATCTTTCAGATGCTATGGTTACTCACCTCTCCAGACTTTTTATTCACCAGAATAGGTTATGATAGGGACAAACTCATGAGCCAACACTCTTTACACATATTGATACCAAAATCTAGATTTCAACACCAATGCAGAAAAAAAAAAATAGAATGATTTATTCCACCTACTTATATCACTGGGTTGCTGTAAAACCCCTTTTCCTTACTCAGTAGTACATTACACATGCTCCCCCACCAAAGCAGTACTGTGGTAAAGAATAGAAATGAATAAGTATAATTATATTATATATGCCATGTCTCTGTACGGCTAGCTTACCTGTGCAGCCCTTGTATATTCAGCCTTCTGGCACAGTACTAAAGCTTGTAGAGAATTGAAAACAGAGACTAGATTTGTCATTTAGTGCAAATAGTATGCTTGCACTTGATAGGAAGTAATTAGTAAATTGAAGTTATATGTTAAAAAATATAACCCCCCCAAAACAGTACCTACTAAGAGCTTTTAAGATGTTAGTAGGCTGTTGTAGCTCCTGACCTTTGAGCAAATGTAAACATCATTCTGATGTCAACAATTCTCAATAATTTATTTCCATAGAGATGTGTAAATGCCTTTTTATATAACACTTGTTATACCTACTGGAGACAAGAGCTTTTCTGTTGCCAGATTCTTATATTGTAAATGTTTGAAAATAGCATGTTTCTGTCAACATGTTCACTTGATTCAGACACTGATTTGCCTGCCCTACACAAACACTTTTGTGTTTTTTAAATATTGATGTACTTCCTAAGGAAGTATCCCTGAAAGTGTCAGGTTGCAGCAATAGAATCATAGGGTACCTATACATGTGCCCTGGGATGGTGGTGGGAGCATTTTAATTGGAACTGGTCTCAGGAAATGGGAACTGGTCTCAGGAGCTGTTCTAATTAAAACTTTTACAGCATCTTGTGCATTCATTATCCCACATTTCAAAATGGTAGCAGAAGCACTAAGGCTTGTGTGATGAGCTTTAAAGCACTCCTGCTGCCATTTTAAAATGTGGGGGCACTGAATACATGAGATGCTGTGGCATGTTAGAGCATTCTAATTAGTATCTGAAAAGCCCTAATTGCCTTCTCTTTAAAACACATTGGACCATGTGTAAAAGTGCCCAATGGAGAAGTAGCGCTGGAAGGGATCTCCAGACGTCATTTAAGACAACCCCTGCCAAAATCCAACCATATCTATATAACTGTATAATCATAATCTAAACTCTATGTAAGACTATCATCAGCCCTGACATAACACAAACCTAAAACCCTAACCTGCCACAGGTAAAGCAGGGGAACCACAGCAGCCAATATCCTGCTTCTATGAAAAGTTGTTAATCTATGCTTGAGAGATCTTGGGTAGAGGTTCATGCCCCACCAACCACCAGTCTGTACCATTTTGACCATAGGGTAAAATTCCTTCCTGATCCCTAATACGGCATTTGGTCTGACCCTGAGCAGAGGGGCAAGATCCTTTAACTAGGAATCTCCAACTTTGGTCCTAGCAGCAGAATTGGCACACCTCAATGAAAGTCCCCAGCCTTACCAGTAGCCAACCCAAAATGCCTCTGAGGAGGTTCTTTGGGTAAATCTGATATCTTTTATTAGACCAACTCAAATAGTTGGAAAAATTCTTCTTATCAAGCTTTCACATTTAAATACCCTTCATCAGGCTGAGGAAGCATCTGCAGTTGGTGTGTGCTCTTCCTGGATGGAATGAATAGCAAAGAAGCCAGAGGCTGGTATGCATGCAAGAAGGTAGCCAGGGAAGATGTAAATTGAGGAGTCAGTGAGTGAGAGAGAGGAGGGTGGGGGTGTGTGTGGAGGATGGGGGAA